GAGACTGCAGCTAATGGTCAAGGAGACTACCACCAATGAATACAATTGCAATCAGCTAAAAAGAACATCAATGGTCGAAAAACAATAATAAAACGGTTGATAGGAACATGTTAGGTGATAAACAGAAGGTTGAGGACAAAACAAATGGTGAATGAGAAAAGAATCTGAGGCGAGAGTCAGAGCAAGTCGTGATTGTCGATTGTGAAGTTTACACTATAAAGAGACAACATTGTTGTATCGCGCATATATCATACGCAGCAGAAAACCAGGATCATGATTAAGACCACCCAACATGTTGAAATTAAGGAATGTCCTTGAGTCAACTTAGCTGAAGACGATTTTCATATTGATATGTGTGTATGTGAATTAATAGTGCAGTGGTGTACCATTGTCCATGTTCCGTTTTATTACTTGTTTGAAGGCTCGTTGTCTATTTGTGTTTCAAAGGAAAGTTAATTTATGAAAGTTTTAAGATCCCATCTGGGTTAGCAAGGAAAGGTCATACTAAAATGAATACTAGTAGATTGTTTTGAATGAGGACAAGCCATTTTGTAAAAACAATTGGATATCAATTTCTTTTAATACATAAGCTAAAACAAAGAAATTTGTAAGAAATTGTAAAATACACAGCTTTCAACTGCCCGGTAGAGAGAGTTATTCTAACAGGTAGGAAAACATGTATCGGCACAGAAACAGTGATGACAAGAATCGATTAGGTCTAGACAAGCGGAAAGCGATATCTATCAGCGCTGTTATTATGCACACAAGGACATATCACATGTAGTCTGTTTAAACTTATAAACGTTTCAAAATTATTATTAGATCTTATTCTAAATAATATTCATCTTACGATGTGAATGGGTTACATTAAAATCAATATGTACGTTGATATTTCACAGAGCAAAGTAAATAAATACGTATACGATATAGGTAAAAAAAACACTGATTTAAAAGTAAGATTCCGCCCAAATAGGGATGTTATCGAAATGTGTAAATGTCTCCGTGTTTTAAAACAATATTGGATGTTAATGCGTCTATATAACGCATGGCGCCCATTATACTAGACGGGAGGGTGAGATCTATAGAGACCTATTGTTCTCTATCACTTGATACCATCAGCTGTCCACCCCTAGTAATCGCGTCTTTAATAATACATCAGCATCCGAGATGACTCTTTGCATACCATAGTATAGTATAGCATAGTATAGAGAACTAGAGTCGGACACAAGCTGTAGAGAACTAGAGCCGGACACAAGCTGTACTAGGGCCGGACACAAACTATAGAGAACTAGGGCCGGACACAAGCTGTAGAATCCTAGAGCCGGACACAAACTGTAGAGAACTAGGGCCGGACACAGGCTATACAGAACTAGGACCGGACACGAGCTGTAGAGATCTAGGGCCGGACACAAGCAGTAGAGAACTAGGGCCGGACACAAGCTGTAGAGAACTAGAGCCGGACACAAGCTGTACCAGGGCCGGACACAAACTATAGAGAACTAGAGCCGGACACAAGCTGTAGAAAGCTAGGGCCGGACACAAGCTGTAGAGAACTAGGGCCGGACACAAGCTGTAGAGACCTAGAGCCGGACACAAGCTGTAGAGAGCTAGGACCGGACACAAGCAGTAGAAAAAATAATACCTAGCCAAAATATCATTCTACTTGGAGTTTAAAGAGGTAACTAATCAGCGAACACATATTTGTCCTTGTAATATGTAGCATAGAATATGTAAACCCAGGGTGATCCGGTGCAGAATTGCGTGACTTCGAATGACAAGATCTTAAACATCAAAAGAAAAATAACAAACAAAACAAAAAACAAACATTTCAGATGCAATCAATTTGACAAGGCAGACTTGTTTATTTCCGCTATGGATCTGTGGAACTAATCTTCTTTGATTTGATAAAGATTAACAACTGAACAAGTCTTTTCAATAAAAGGGAGATCCGTTTATATTAATCGCAGTGTACCGATGGATACTCCGATAATATACCACCTCTCCGCGGTGTTATATAGCAGAGGCGCGTTCGGTATCATTCAAAATTAATGAGTTAGTTAAACCATTATTTGCTACTTAATCAGTGGAATGACCGCTAATCCAGAATCGTGACTGAGAAAGGCGGCATCCTGGAGGTACAAATTAACCAACAAGATGGCCGCCCAAATCAGCTCACGCCCTTATCCACATCAACTTGCCACGGCTGTTCCAGAGTTTTCTGTTTGTAAACAAGAATTTGAATCTTCATTGACATCATGTCAAGGGAATTCCACACAAACACACATCTTTTGGGTTTCGTTTTGTCGTCTCTGACGTCCAGACGCTTGTCAGAAGCGCGATTTATTCACGATTATGGTGTACTTTACAGATTGGCTGCAACTTCCAGTCGTCCATTTTAAAGTTGGATTCAAATTTCAACCCTCTAAAGGTATAACGAAAACATTGTTTAATCAACTATCGACCAATCGTACCACTGACATTGTCTCTGTATTATATCACTGACATTGTCACAGTAATACATCACTGGTATTGTCACAGTAATATATCTGATATTGTCACAGTAATTTATAACTGATATTGTATCATTGACATTGTCTCTGTATCATTGACATTGTCTCTGTATTATTGACATTGTCTCTGTTAAATATCACTAACATTGTCTCTGTATCACTGACATTGTCTCTGTATCACTGACATTGTCTCTGTATCATTGACATTGTCTCTGTATCACTGACATTGTCTCTGTATCACTGACATTGTCTCTGTATCACTGACATTGTCTCTGTATCACTGACATTGTCTCTGTATCACTGACATTGTCTCTGTATCACTGACATTGTCTCTGTATCACTGACATTGTCTCTGTATCATTGACATTGTCTCTGTATCATCATGACATTGTCTCTGTATTCATTGACATTGTCTCTGACTGACATTGTCTCTGTATCTGTATGACATTGTCTCTGTATCACTGACATTGTCTCTGTATCATTGACATTGTCTTTGTATTACTGACATTGTCTCTGTATCACTGACATTGTCTCTGTATCATTGACATTGCTTCTGTATCACTGACATTGTCTCTGTATTACTGACATTGTCTCTGTATCAATGACATTGTCTCTGTATCATTGACATTGCTTCTGTATCACTGACATTGTCTCTGTATTACTGACATTGTCTTTGTATTACTGACATTGTCTCTGTATCACTGACATTGTCTCTGTATCATTGACATTGCTTCTGTATCACTGACATTGTCTCTGTATTACTGACATTGTCTCTGTATTACTGACATTGTCTCTGTATCGTTGACATTGTCTCTGTATTACTGACATTGTCTCTGTATCACTGACATTGTCTCTGTATCATTGACATTGTCTCTGTGTCACTGACATTGTTTCTGTATCACTGACATTGTCTCTGTATCATTGACATTGTCTCTGTGTCACTGACATTGTCTCTGATTCACTGACATTGTCTCTGTTTCACTGACATTGTTGATGTATTAGATAACAGCCATACTCGTGCTAGATATTACTAGATTAAGTTATAGTTGTGTAAATGACTTCATATGATTGTGATTTCTCGTTATAAGTGTGATCGTTCTCTGGGAATGCACTGCTAATGTCGAATGTAAACAATTGTGGGTACCCATTCCTGTTAACGCCGTACACCGATAACCTCAACATTGATTGCTAAAGGTACCTGTCTCCATCTACAACACACCCCTGTATGTTAAAGCCCCAATATACGTAAAAATCACTATAAAAAACAAACTTTATCTTATTTTCCCCGTAATATATGTAACAAAACAAATGCTTTCCTTTAATTAAACAAAATAAAACTGACTGTTTTCAATTGAAATAAAAATTGAAAAAATCGGAAAATAAACAATGTGGGACCCACAATAATTCATACATTACCGCTTGTAGCGATGACATTGCGCATGCGCATATTCCGCGTGTAAACATGGCAGACACAGTACAGACGTCCACCAGTCGCTTCCTTTCTTTCCAATCATACATCAGGCCAGTTCTGAATTCTTACGTTATAATTGTGCGTCGTATCGTTTCTAAACTAATTATTCCTTCTAATAATTTCCCAAAAAACTGAATGTTTATGACAGGAATACCTCAAGTCTACGACAAAAACTTACCGTAGACATATCTGCATGTGCTTCCTCTATAAGTAGAAACCTCAACTCTCGAGAGATCAGGTCATGAACTTTCCGACGTGTTCGACAACAATCGTAATTTCGATGGCGGCGTGTTTAAAATGGAGGTGTGTTTACAAATAGCGAGTTTCCACTGCTCATATATCAATACTTTATGCACAAAGTCATGGTAACTATTGTTTGAATAACTTAATTTTAACTACATCTTAGAGAATATCTCAATAATTATGTGTGATTCTACACTAAAGTTTTGGTGAATGTTACGTATATTGGGGCTTTAACGTCTCTCTAGTGATGTGGCCGACAATAAATATTGAAATCTCTCAGTAAAGTTCTGGTATATGTTGTAAGTAATAACATTAAAACTAACTAAACTGCATCTTTATCTTTTATTGACAAATCTACATCCAACAGAAAACCGCTTCAGTTTCAAGTCCACCATGGTGGACCGTGGTAGTTCCACTTGAGCTGGATTTGTGGACCGGAAGAAATTTAAACAAAATCATACTTGGTTTTGCCCACTCGCACAGCCATACATCACAAACATCTTAATCTCATTATAGTGTGAATGATAGTCTCTGTGCAGCACCAGGGTTGTGATAACGGAACCCATGTCTTTTATGGAATGTCCATCTTTGTAGCAGAAATGAGAAGTGTCCCTTTCTGTCCCATATCCTGAGGGATATGTATGTGTTTGTCTCGAAGATGAGACACGATCCCTTTCTGTCTCTCGGACATGTAGGAATAAGACACACACGTGGTATATCCGTTTACTTGTCCGCACGACTAGATACCACAGAGCGCATGCTCCAAAGTGGTGTTATTACCTTTGTCGGTTCTTGTAATCTTTGACTAGCCTTCCAAGTTCTGTTACAGCCTCATAGACTCCCTCTCCTGTGGGAGCGCAGCAAGACTGTATGTGCCATTTCCTGCTCCGCAAAGAACGTAAATCCATGGCGTCAATGATTTCAGAGGGTTTCATGGCATCTGAAACCAAACAAGACATTTTTAATTCAATCATAACTAGATTCATAGATGGAATGGTGAAATTTCGGAAACCGTACAGATCTACATATATATTCACAAAAGTTGGTACAATAATACATCAAATTTTACTTTCCCTTTTACTAAGTTGGATGAGGTGGTGTGAACTTGTTGTATTCTTTTTCAAATCAGTAAACTGGTTTAGTGGAGTAGGAACTCATCTAATATTTAGTGCGATTTTGACAAACTGGTTTTTGTAAGAAAAGCATGCGGCTAAATATTGTACTAACATCATCATTTGCTCCTACTGATATGGTTATATACGTCATTCTTACTTTGGGATGTTTTAGTATTAGAATGTAATATTGTGCTAAATATGCTGTATGCTATTAATTAGTAATATTGTAGTAAAAAGTCCTTTTGCACAGTATGCGAACAATTTTCGAATGTACTCGCATTCACCAACGACGTTAATGACTTACTCGGCATGTCCATTTTGTTGGCGATGACCACTACCGGACAGCTGGCAGGCATATCCGGACTGTTTACGATCCCAAACAGCTCTTCCTTGGCCTCAGACATTCTCTGTCTATCCGAGCTGTCCAACACGAACATCAAACCTGAAAACGAAACAGTGACGTCAAATTGCGTTCATAAATCAGACTATTGTACCCGCTGTCCCCATTACATGAACGTAGGAGGCGACTTAACTTGGGATCTTCATACTTTCTTTCTGATGATTCCGTGACACTGTCTCACGCATGTAGGGAACGTTCACCCCTGTGAGGAAGGCTTTGAATTTGTCCTCTGTCCGAGACATACCAATTGCTTTAAAAATGGAAGTAACTGCTTTCTGCTTAACGTTAAAAATATGGTAGATCTAACGACTGGTTTTCTCGTCCGATATAATGTGACCTGATGGGGTGTCCTGTGTTGGGGTCATCGTCAGTATACTTCAGTGTGATTGCACTATAAAGTATATTTCAATATAGTTTCGCGCTATAACAAAATAGATAACCTTTACACGAACATTTCGCAGCCTTGTATACCTCGGGTGGCCGTCCTTAAATAAGTCTTGCTGTTGATAAGACGCAAAACAATATAAATAAAATCAAACCAAGTATCAGACATTGGAAGAGACAGTGACGTAAAATCGAGATAACAATATGGACTTCGGGAAAAATTAGTACTTCTCTGATGGAACATCTAGTATGGTGTATTCAAACCGGTTTAATGTGCTCCCAGACTTACTTCCCTTCATTCTATCAGTATGGTATAGCGATTGCCCTGACAGCTCAACCGATGGATCCATACTCAAGACAAATACAACAGACAATAGGTGAAAAATATGGTTGACTTAAAAATAAAGCGAGATAACTCTTGTTATACCTTCCGCCTCGCTGTAGTAATGTCTCCAAAGCTGTCTGATCCGGTCCTGACCGCCCACGTCCCACACTGTAAATGTCACGCCTTTACACGGGGTCACGGTCTCCACATTAAATCCCAAGGTAGGGATTGAGGACACCACTTCATTCAACTTCAGTTTGTACAGAATAGTCGTCTTTCCTGTATAACAAGACACGCTAGTTGTATAATCTTACTATAGTTTATGTTTTATATCCATCTTCAATTTTTATTGTGCATAATCAGTAAATAATTATAATTCAATAACAACATAATGAATGCGGAAATTAACACTAAATTATCATTTAATGTGCATATTAGGTAATTGAATAGATATCAATAACAACATAATGAATGCGGAAATTAACACCAAATTATCATTTCAGAGACCGAAATCTTTATCTAAGATTCAGCATTTTATACACACATCATGCCGTAGTTTTAAGTAAACACATACATTGTACACACATGACTACACACAGCTCTTTCAATCAAAAGAATTGTTATATATATAAACATCCTCACACTCAGCATAACTGATGACTTAGAACGAAATAATAAACAACAATATAACCACAAGGTTATGAGTATTTGTAATATATGTAGTTTAAACTTAACATATTAGTAGATAATATAGTTTAACTTCTCATAGCCACGAGGAGGATGTCCTACCTGCATTATCCAGGCCCAACATTACAATTTTGGACGGGTCCTCCTCTCCAAACGATGACAATGCATCGTACAACTTCGTCAGCCACAATCCCATTGTTACAGTGTATACCAGTAGAAGGATTTATCCAGTTATGATGGTAATACTTCTCCATGCTCTTTATATAGGGCTGTTGTACTGATGACATTTTTTCACCGACGTGGTATTGTTTACAGTTGCGAACAGGTAGGGGATTCCACGCTGGAGAAAATGACGTCACCGAAAGGAAACCCCGGCAACAAAGACACGTGATACAAACAGAGCACAACGCAAAGCTACGATAAATCTAGGCGGATCAAATCGACCGCACATGCTAGTTATGTACATGACCTACTGAAAATTTACACATAAAGTGTCTAGTTGATGATTCAGTTCGATGTGACAGAAAATCGTCCGTCCATTATCAACCGTTCTGATCTCCTAGACTTACTTCGCTTCGTTTGTCATTATAGTATGGCGATAAATATTATCAACAGGACCTTTTAATTGTCCCAGATTTAGATTAGATTAAAACTATATTTATAACCTGTCACAATTCTAGTTATATAAAGTATGGTTAGCTTACAACAATAACCCGTCACAATTCTTATTATATAAAGTATGGTTAGCTTACAATAATAACCTGACATTGTTCTAGTTATATAAAAGTATGGTTAGCTTACAACGATTACATGTCACAATTCTAATTATATAAAGTATGGTTAGCTTACAACAATAAGCTGTCACAATTCTAGTTATATAAGGTATGGTTAGGTTACAGCAATAACCTGTCACAATTCTTGTTATATAAAAGTATGGTTAGGTTACAACAATAACCTGTCACAATTCTAGTTATATAAAAGTATGGTTAGGTTACAACAATAACCTGTCAAAATTCTAGTTATATAAGGTATGGTTAGGTTACAGCAATAACCTGTCACAATTCTAGCTATATAAAAGTATGGTTAGGTTACAGCAATAACCTGTCACAATTCTTGTTATATAAAAGTATGGTTAGGTTACAACAATAACCTGTCACAATTCTAGTTATATAAAAGTATGGTTAGGTTACAACAATAACCTGTCAAAATTCTAGTTATATAAGGTATGGTTAGGTTACAGCAATAACCTGTCACAATTCTAGCTATATAAAAGTATGGTTAGGTTACAGCAATAACCTGTCACAATTCTTGTTATATAAAAGTATGGTTAGGTTACAACAATAACCTGTCACAATTCTAGTTATATAAAGCATGGTTAGGTTACAACAATAACCTGTCACAATTCTAATTATATAAAGTATGGTTAGGTTACAACAATAACCTGTCACAATTCTAGTTGTATAAAGTATGGTTAGGTTACAACAATAACCTGTCACAATTCTTATTATATAAAGTATGGTTAGCTTACAATAATAGCCTGTCATTGTTCTAGTTATATAATGTACGGTTGTATTACAGTAATAGTCTGTCATTGGTCCCGCTATACAATGTATTGCGCTATAACAGCAGCCTATCGGACGTCTTTTTAATTGTCACTGTGATATATCATTGTTTTTTCACGGTAATGTATCACTGACCTAGCCACTGCAATTTTTCACTGACATTTTCACTGTAATATATGTGTGGGAGGATCCCATATGCAAGTACCATACTCAAATTTGGGTCGCACAAGTGCCTAATAAGTTTTTTTATGTCTAGTTTGTGGTGTATAGAAATGTAAGGTTTCTATTTAAGAAAACTTAGGGCGTTGTTATTATTTGATGTTCCATTGTTACACTGGATGTTCTACTTGAGGTTAGTGGTCTTTCTCCAGTGTCCATAGATTTACTGAATACGAAAGAGAGGACTGAAGCACTACATGACCACTGATGGTGTTTAGTCCACATGCCTTGTAGGGGTTACTGTTGTGTACGAGCTCAGAAATATCATAATGATGTTGATATTCGGCATAATGGGATGGGGGCTTAGGCCTTAATCAGGAATGGGCGTGTCAGTTTCGGTGGTAAATATTGAGTGGAGGTGACAGTTTCATACATTTGCCTTCTCAGCGTTGTCAGTTGTAAGTAGGGCCTGACGTTCAGGTGGTGGAGTTCCGTTTTTTCGGATCTCCATCTTATTATGTAAGAGTAGAATGTTTTGGGACTGGCTTTGGTGTCTCCGAGTCGGTGACTTTCATCAGTTGGGAGAACACACATGAGCTTTTTTCAATATAGTTCTAATACGATTCTAATTTCTTCCTACTTTTAAGGGGATTTTTTACTTTTTTTTTTTTTTTTTAGTTGAGCTTGTTTTTGTTTTTGTTTTTTTTTTGTGATAAGTCTACTTAGGGAATTGCTGACCCAGGAAAGTTTGTGTGGATGAGCATCTTACTGGGGATATTGGTGTCTATAGAGGATATCTTACTGGGGATATTAGTGTCTATAGAGGATATCTTACTCGGGGATATTAGTGTCTATAGAGGATATCTTACTGGGGATATTAGTGTCTATAGAGGATATCTTACTGGGGATATTAGTGTCTATAGAGGATATCTTACTGGGGATATTAGTGTCTATAGAGGATATCTTACTGGGGATATTAGTGTCTGTAGAGGATATCTTACTGGGGATATTAGTGTCTGTAGAGGATATCTTACTGGGGATATTAGTGTCTGTAGAGGATATCTTACTGGGGATATTAGTGTCTGTAGAGGATATCTTACTGGGGATATTAGTGTCTGTAGAGGATATCTTACTGGGGATATTAGTGATATCTGATATTAGGTAGAGGATATCTTACTGGGGATATTAGTGTCTGTAGAGGATATCTTACTGGGGATATTAGTGTCTATAGAGGATATCTTACTGGGGATATTAGTGTCTATAGAGGATATCTTACTGGGGATATTAGTATCTGTAGAGGATATCTTACTGGGGATATTAGTGTCTATATAGGATATCTAACTCGGGGATATTAGTGTCTATAGAGGATATCTTACTGGGGATATTAGTGTCTATAGAGGATATCTTAATGGGGATATTAGTGTCTATAGAGGATATCTTACTCGGGGATATTAGTGTCTGTAGAGGATATCTTACTGGGGATATTAGTGTCTATAGAGGATATCTTACTGGGGATATTAGTGTCTGTAGAGGATATCTTACTGGGGATATTAGTGTCTATAGAGGATATCTTACTCGGGGATATTAGTGTCTGTAGAGGATATCTTACTGGGGATATTAGTGTTTGTAGAGGATATCTTACTGGGGATATTAGTGTCTATAGAGGATATCTTACTGGGGATATTAGTATCTGTAGAGGATATCTTACTGGGGATATTAGTGTCTATATAGGATATCTAACTCGGGGATATTAGTGTCTATAGAGGATATCTTACTGGGGATATTAGTGTCTATAGAGGATATCTTAATGGGGATATTAGTGTCTATAGAGGATATCTTACGCGGGGATATTAGTGTCTGTAGAGGATATCTTACTGGGGATATTAGTGTCTGTAGAGGATATCTTACTGGGGATATTAGTGTCTATAGAGGATATCTTACTCGGGGATATTAGTGTCTATAGAGGATATCTTACTGGGGATATTAGTGTCTATAGAGGATATCTTACTCGGGGATATTAGTGTTTATAGAGGATATCTTACTGGGGATATTAGTGTCTATAGAGGATATCTTAATGGGGATATTAGTGTTTATAGAGGATATCTTACTGGGGATATTTGTGTCTATAGAGGATATCTTACTGGGGATATTAGTGTCTGTAGAGGATATCTTACTGGGGATATTAGTGTCTATAGAGGATATCTTACTGGGGATATTAGTGTCTATAGGGGATATCTTACTGGGGATATTAGTGTCTATAGAGGATATCTTACTCGGGGATATTAGTGTCTATAGAGGATATCTTACTGGGGATATTAGTGTCTATAGAGGATATCTTACTGGGGATATTAGTGTCTATAGAGGATATCTTACTGGGGATATTAGTGTCTATAGAGGATATCTTACTGGGGATATTAGTGTCTATAGGGGATATCTTACTGGGGATATTAGTGTCTATAGAGGATATCTTACTGGGGATATTAGTGTCTATAGAGGTTATCTTACTGGGGATATCAGTGTCTATAGAGGATATCTTACTCGGGGATATTAGTATCTATAGAGGATATCTTACTGGGGATATTAGTGTCTGTAGAGGATATCTTACTGGGGATATTAGTGTCTGTAGAGGATATCTTACTGGGGATATTAGTGTCTATAGAGGATATCTTACTGGGGATATTAGTGTCTATAGAGGATATCTTATCTACTGGGGATATTAGTGTCTATAGAGGATATCTTACTGGGGATATTAGTGTCTATAGAGGATATCTTACTGGGGATATTAGTGTCTGTAGAGGATATCTTACTGGGGATATTAGTGTCTGTAGAGGATATCTTACTGTAGAGGATATCTTACTGGGGATATTAGTGTCTGTAGAGGATATCTTACTGGGGATATTAGTGTCTATAGAGGATATCTTACTCGGGGATATTAGTGTCTGTAGAGGATATCTTACTGGGGATATTAGTGTCTGTAGAGGATATCTTACTGGGGATATTAGTGTCTGTAGGATATCTTAGGATATCTTACTTGGGGATATTAGTGTCTGTAGAGGATATCTTACTCGGGGATATTAGTGTCTGTAGAGGATATCTTACTCGGGGATATTAGTGTCTGTAGAGGATATCTTACTCGGGGATATTAGTGTCTGTAGAGGATATCTTACTCGGGGATATTAGTGTCTGTAGAGGATATCTTACTCGGGGATATTAGTGTCTATAGAGGATATCTTACTCGGGGATATTAGTGTCTGTAGAGGATATCTTACTGGGGATATTAGTGTCTGTAGAGGATATCTTAAGGATATCTTACTGGGGATATTAGTGTCTGTAGAGGATATCTTACTCTGGGGATATTAGTGTCTGTAGAGGATATCTTACTGGGGATATATTAGTGTCTGTAGAGGATATCTTACTGGGGATATTAGTGTCTGTAGAGGATATCTTACTGGGGATATTAGTGTCTGTAGAGGATATCTTACTCGGGGATATTAGTGTCTGTAGAGGATATCTTACTCGGGGATATTAGTGTCTGTAGAGGATATCTTACTCGGGGATATTAGTGTCTGTAGAGGATATCTTACTGGGGATATTAGTGTCTGTAGAGGATATCTTACTCGGGGATATTAGTGTCTGTAGAGGATATCTTACTCGGGGATATTAGTGTCTGTAGAGGATATCTTACTGGGGATATTAGTGTCTGTAGAGGATATCTTACTGGGGATATTAGTGTCTATAGAGGATATCTTACTGGGGATATTAGTGTCTATAGAGGATATCTTACTGGGGATATTAGTGTCTATAGAGGATATCTTACTCGGGGATATTAGTGTCTATAGAGGATATCTTACTGGGGATATTAGTGTCTATAGAGGATATCTTACTGGGGATATTAGTGTCTATAGGGGATATCTTACTGGGGATATTAGTGTCTATAGAGGATATCTTACTCGGGGATATTAGTGTCTATAGAGGATATCTGGGGATACTGGGGATATTAGTGTCTATAGAGGATATCTTACTGGGGATATTAGTGTCTATAGAGGATATCTTACTGGGGATATTAGTGTCTGTAGAGGATATCTTACTGGGGATATTAGTGTCTGTAGAGGATATCTTACTGGGGATATTAGTGTCTGTAGAGGATATCTTACTCGGTAGAGGATATCTTACTGGGGATATTAGTGTCTAGAGGATATCTTACTGGGGATATTAGTGTCTATAGAGGATATCTTACTGGGGATATTAGTGTCTATAGAGGATATCTTACTGGGGATATTAGTGTCTATAGAGGATATCTTACTGGGGATATTAGTGTCTGTAGAGGATATCTTACTCGGGGATATTAGTGTCTATAGAGGATATCTTACTGGGGATATTAGTGTCTATAGAGGATATCTTACTTGGGATATTAGTGTCTATAGAGGATGTAAAGGAAGTTATAAAGTAACTGTACAGATAGTTACCAGATGCTCCTATCATTGTCTCATTCATTGTTTGTAAGACTGACTCGAAAACTCTAGCTTTATTTCGTACCATTTTGCTTTGTTGTACTTTAGAATCATGCTTGGACCATTTCTGACCCGCCTTAACCAGATATCAATTTTCAGAAATGCCAAGTCTTGGTCCACGTGACTGATTGGAGAAAGCTAACTTTGTAGACACAGGATAGATTATTGGTTAAGACCAGATCCAGTATCATGTTGTGCCATATTGTTTTATCCACGCTTAGGCCATGATCTTGTATAAGATCTAGTAAGATGTTATGAAGTATGGTCTCCGGCCTTCCTGGGATCTAGGATGGTGGAGTAATTTTCCCAGTCAATACGATCAAGGTTAAAATCTCCGTAGAGTTTGAGTAAACAGTCTTAACTGCTGTAACGATAGACATCCTTTGTTTTGAGAGAGACTGTAGCAACTAACAATAATAAATTTTTTTAATCCAGAAATATAAATTTTGCCCATACAATTTCACAGTTGTCAGTATTAAATTATAGGAGTTGGATGCTGTTTGGCCTGGCCACTCACCGCAGTCAGTGCACCCCATTAGTTCTGACCGTTTATGTTCGGTATCCGGTCATTGCTATACACTGTATATAGCTTCCTTCGAGAAGAATTCGTGTGATGGAATATCACTATCAACTTAGGTTTACGTGCCAGGTATTATGTCAGGGTTGGTGGAATCAAGGACTTACAGTAATTCTGGATCTTTAATTTCCTTTTTTTTTAATTGATTGAAAAATTATGTTGAATATACCGAGTCAAAGTTTTTTTTATCATTATTGTTTTGGTGAGTGCGATTGACGTTGGGTATATTGGGATTGCTTGGGATTTTGGAAGATCAGTAGGCAGTGAGGATTCCAGGATTGCTTTCCTCTGAACACTTGTCAGATCTGAAAATCGATTCTCCGGCTCAAAACTGGAAGTTGAATCAGAAAATGCTGTCGAGAAATTTGGCATACCTCATTGGATGCATTCCTATGATATATTACTTGAATTCATGCCACTTTACATGTGAGTGTACACTCTGACAATCTATGTGAAACCGTGTTTCACAACTGTCATAGCATGTGGCTTCATGTTTCCAGGTTACTGCTTTGTTGCAGGTACCACAAGGCTATCTTGGGCCAGGGTTATTTTCTTCATCAGAGGAATTTGCTAGTATGAGGATGTACAAATGGACTGGACGATTCGTATGAAGTTTTAGCGTTTGAAAAAGCTAAGCTGGTAATCACGATAGTCTCCAGTTTATGTTGGAGTAGGTCAGAGAATGGATAATGACCATCGATGTGGTCACTGAATGTCCACTGTTTCATGAGGCATTCTAGGGTTACATGTTTTAGTAGCTAAATTAAGAACACATTAAATACCAGTGTGAAATGTGTAGGATAAATCTTGATAATCAAGTCGTACCAGAACAGAATTATGATTTACAATCACAAGGCACTTGGCAGTTCAGGGTTTACAGGGAGAGTGGCGATTTTGAGACAATTTGTCTTGTCCACTGCGTTGGTGAATGTTTTCTAAACCGGAAGTACAAGCGATCAAGACCGAGGGAAATTTGAAATGTGCACCTAGGTCAAATGTATTTTATCCACGCTAAAACTCCGGGAAATTTAAGTTTTAGCGGCACTGCCAGAAAGAATTGTGGCCCCACGCAGCCGAAAGTCCGGTTTTTCAATCGGCATAGGTGTGTATTTTGGAAAAATAATTTGATGAAATTGAATGTGTGTTGACATGTTTTATTCCCGTAAATGATCATGCTTTCACAATTGATAGTCGATATCTATATATACGGATTGTGATTACATTTTTCTTCGACATTAATATATACTAAACCTTTGTTAGTTAATAATAGGTAGGAATTTTACTTTCGTCAGTGTTAAGTCACGTGATAAGGAAACTCCTTGCTCAGTTGTTAAGATAAGCTGTTAATGGCGACAATGCTGTATTGTTCATTGTTCACATGGAGCAATGTATCAACATCTATGTACATAAGCACAATTTGGATGTGGTTAAAACTGTAAATTATGTATTTGAATTGAATACATGTGGATTTCCGTTTTTTTTTTTTTTTTTCCGTGTCAGACACTGGTTAGAAGGGACGGGACCATTTCCGTTACGATCCGATGATAGCAACAGGAATAGAACGGTCGATATCACGTTTTGTGTTCTTTTACTAGTCTACCAAGTTCCGTCACGGCTTCATGAACCCCTTTCCCTGTCTTCGCACAGCACGACTGCACGAGCCATTTCCTCTTCCGCACTGACTGTAGGTTCAAAATGTCGATAATTTCCGAGGACTCCATTGCGTCTATAAAGAGATGCATTTATATTATGTTTGAATCAGATTTTGAGATAAATATACCCGTGTACACTTTACTTTCTCATCTATCTACTGTGATTAAAGTTCTGCTTAAATGTTAGTAAATACCACTCCCTCCCTCTACCGAGACTAATTCAAAATGAGTTATATTTGGCAGTCAATATACTATGCAAAATAGTATTTATTAATTTCACGGAAACGTACATAATATACAGAGCACAATGATCTGATTGAGACACTTTGCATTCTAAGACATACCCTCATAGTGAAAACCATTTACAAAATAGCTAACCATATAGAGATCAAATCCCAATATGTACTCGCACACATATGTTTTGAAATACGCGAAGTAGTAAAAAAATATATGAAAATAAAAGAATTGTATATGCTATCATCTTATTTCCAAATCGGATACAATAACTGATAGCGACCAGATATAAGGCTATTATGTGGAGAAGAGTAACAAGCAGAGGCGTATTTACGACGACATAAACAAGAGTTGTATGTTAGAAATATCTTGGATTCGTTTCCAGTCCATATAACATTTACACGACCTATAACCCAGGAAAATATGTTGTTTTTAAAGGCTTGCCCGGGCTCCTTTAATCATCAAATGGAATATTTCGTATAGAATGGAGGCTCCATATAGCGCCCTTACAGACAACTGAAGATAGACGGGTGGACTGGTGGTCGGACAGACAACTGGTGACAGACTGGTGGTCGGACAGACAACTGGTGACAGAGTGATGGAATGGTGACCTGACAGACAACTGGAGACAGACTGGTGGTCTGACAGACAACTGGTGACAGAATGATGGAATGGTGACCTGACAGACAACTGGAGACAGACTGGTGGTCGGACAGACAACTGGTGACAGAGTGATGGAATGGTGACCTGACCGACAACTGGAGACAGACTGATGGAATGGTGGCCCGACAGACAACTGGATACAGACTGATGGAATGGTGACCTGACAGACAACTGGAGGCAGACTGATGAACTGGTGGTCGGACAGACAACTGGAGACAGACTGATGGAATGGTGGCCTGACAGACAACTGGAGACAGACTGGTGGTCGGACAGACAACTGGAGGCAGACTGATGGAATGGTGGTCGGAGAGACAACTGGAGACAGAGTGATGGAATGGTGACCTGTCAGACAACTGGAGACAGACTGGTGAATTGGTGACCTGTCAGACAACTGGAGACAGACTGATGGATTGGTGACCTGTCAGACAACTGGAGACAGACTGATGGAATGGTGACCTGACAGACAACTGGAGACAGACTGATGGAATGGTGGCCTGACAGACAACTGGAGATAGACTGATGGAATGGTAGCCTGACAGACAGCTGGAGACAGACTGATGGAATGGTAGCCTGACAGACAACTGGAGACAGACTGATGGATTGGTGACCTGTCAGACAACTGGAGACAGACTGATGGATTGGTGACCTGTCAGACAACTGGAGACAGACTGATGGAATGGTGACCTGACAGACAACTGGAGACAGACTCATGAACTGGTGGCCTGACAGACAACTGGGGAACACAATGTAACCAATCACATCCTTCATATATCCTTATTATTTCTGTTACGTTTCACTGTTATGAAACATAACCTTCTGTAGAAGTCGCATTCACAAGTGTGAAAGATTTCCGGAATAATGGACAACGAGTGGAACTACTTCCCCTTCATGTCGGACTAGGAAGTGAACAACAGGACAATCAAAAGGGGACAATAGGTTAGATGGTTACACAAGACTTACTAGGCATATCAGTTTTGTTGGCTAAAACTAGCAAGGGACAGCTGGCTGACATATCCGGACTGTTCAGGATTCGAAACAGCTCCTCTGCGGCCTCGGGCATCCTCTTTCTATCCGAGCTGTCTACCACGTATATCAGACCTAAACAGAATCCAAGAAACTTGTTACATGACCAACCAACACCAACTACATGTTCTGTTTCATATCGATTCCAGAGTGTATTAATATTGAAACTTTTTACTTTCCAAATTTTCTTTTAGCATTTTTATAATTCCAAATACGAAAAAAATACACAAACGTAGAAATAGAAAGAATTTGGACGGCAATTCCTTTCCATTTAGCATAGTTAAACTGAGTCTTACTCGGACTTTTGTTTGTCTCGAATTCCTTAGGTCTTTGATTTTGGAAAATTAATTTTCCTGTTTTTAGAAACTTGTTTCTGTTAGCTTAATAGGAAGTAAAGTTCAGATTAAAAGACAACTACCTATCATCGTCTAAATGAGAAATAGAAGACATTGAGTATGAACCTCAACAATGACACTGTTAGAGCTACCTTTCGGTACACTTCATAACCATACTTTATCAAGCGAAAGCTCCTAAAATTAACAATGAGACATGGTAACTGTACAAAATGGAAACTTTAAGATGTTTTAACAGAACAAGCGTTTCTGAGGACAGAATGTTTAAAATCCTTAATTGTATACTACAATTAATCTTGTCTGGATTTTCTTAAGTCGCCTCCTGGGTCTAAATTAGAACCTTAGCAACAGGTGTGTGACACTGTCTACATTTGGCACTACTGTAGTTGATTCTAATTTGTATTTAAGGGTGCTATTAACTTTTGAGTCTTTTGGACGATTTTCAAGACAACATGTGGCAGACACTGCTGGTGCACAAACACATATGCTTGGCGTTCTCAATTACGAAATCCATTGAATTAAGGGACTTGTGCAACTCCCAATTTGAATTCTGACGTTACTTTGGGTTTTCTTCAGTCGCCTCCTTTCAAAATATGGGTCCTATGTAACAAAACTGGAATCCATTTAAGGGTACACCAGTTATGTAATAGTGAAGCCTGGCGGGGGATTAATTTTAGCAGTTATTCTTTAAAGTTGAATAACTGTGTTTACAATGGCTGTTATCTTATAACATAGCCGACTGCTCTTGAACAAGTTCCTCTATCTTGCAGCCTGATGCTGTCTTTAGTTGAACAAGCTCCGCTATCTTACAGCCTGATGCTGTCTTTCGTTGAACAAGCTCCGCTATCTTACAGCCTGATGCTGTCCTTCGTTGAACAGGCTTGCTCTATCTATTTCTAAATTTGTATTTAAGTGTTATTCACTTGTGTCTTTTTATACAATTACTACAATTATAGATTATTTGAAAATTAGCGCGGGATCGTAGTACAGACCATTTCATGATTAAAATCCCCAAAACACCCGAATAAAACTGTAAATAAAACATGATAAAAACGATAATTACCACGAGTTCCACTGATGTAATGAATCCATATGGGTCTAAGCTGTCGTTGACCGCCCACGTCCCACACAGAGAGATTCACACCGTTACATGGGGTCACCATCTCCACATTGAAGCCCGCCGTAGGGCATGTTTTCACCATTTCATTTTGCACGATTCGGTACAGTATTGTGGTTTTACCTACACAGACAAGACAGGTAACGTGTACGTCACGTGACCGTGATAAATTTTGAGAACGTAAATAAATACTAGAAATATTCAATGTCGAGCAAAAACAGATCGTTACAATTTAAAATTACCAATAGAATAGAGATTCTTATAACACAATCAGCAAAAGATTGTGAGAATGTGCCGTTTCCATGACTATCTGAGTACAGGGTCACCTTCCTCAGACAAATGACCAGTGTGGAGCGTTCTAGCACTGCCGTACATGATGCACATGATGGTAAGGAATCGGCCGTGCTTTGGTCCTATATACGCCAAGGTCGAAAAAAGGTGTGACAACATGGTAAACAAATTATAGAAAAAAGTACACTAGATGGTAACAATGCACTGTGGTCAATTCGACCTTAATGTACATAGGATTTTAGGTGCCAGTCTGAGGTGGTCAATTCCACCTTGGTGTACATAAGATTTTAGGTGCCAGTCTGAGGTGGTCAATTCGACCTTGGTGTACATAGGATTTTAGGTGCCAGTCTGAGGTGGTCAATTCGGCTTTAGTGTACATAGGATTTTAGGTGCCAGTCTGAGGTGGTCAATTCGACCTTGGTGTACATAGGATTTTAGGTGCCAGTCTGAGGTGGTCAATGCGGCTTTAGTGTACATAAGATTCTAGGTGCCAGTCTGAGGTGGTCAATTCGGCTTTAGTGTACATAGGATTTTAGGTGCCTGTCTGAGGTGGTCAATTCGACCTTTGTGTACATAGGATTTTAGGTGCCTGTCTGAGGTGGTCAATTCGACCTTTGTGTACATAGGATTTTAGGTGCCTGTCTGAGGTGGTCAATTCGACCTTTGTGTACATAGGATTTTAGGTGCCAGTCTGAGGTGGTCAATTCGACCTTTGTGTACATAGGATTCTAGGTGCCAGTCTGAGGTGGTCAATTCGATCTTAATGTACATAGGATTTTAGGTGCCAGTCTGAGGTGGTCAGTTCGGCCTTAGTGTACATAGGATTCTAGGTGCTAGTCTGAGGTGGTCAATTCGGCTTTAATGTACATAGGACTTTAGGTGCCGGTCTGAGGGGAGAAAGACGCCAAAGTATATAGAACCGTGGAAGAGTCATTCAGGCACATCTGAATGGAATATGAAGTGAGAGAACTATTGAAATGGAGAAGAACACAAACCTTCGTTTTGTCTTAGTGTCGACACCATTGGTTAGCCAAACCTGGCTTGTGTGATTTTATTCAACGGCATGTCAAAACAATAGAATTGACTTCAGGGGAGTAATTCATTTAAATATTCTTGACGGGCCTGTTCACCAGCAGTTCCATATCACATACATTTAGTAGCCCCCTCCTCTCCTATCGCCAGGACGTCCTTGTGTCTACCGAGATATAAGTATAGTTGTTCTGTCACGGTTATGGTCTAACCAGAATATGTAAATATTGTAGAGAGCATTCACGGACCATGCGATGTCGGTAAAAGTACATGTAAAGATAACTATCAATTGATTTACTGGCAATATGTTTGTTGGCTCAGATAAGAACGGTTGTCCAACGTAATTTACAAATAACACTAGTCTTACGATTATTAATAAAAGTCAGTCTGTTAACGTATACTTAGTGTACTTGTTCCCCGGAACCGACTGTGACCTATATATAGCGCAACACCTGTATAGCCACATTGATCTCAATAGTTACCTGCATTGTCCAGACCAAGCATTAGGAGTTTAAGGAAAACGTCCTCTTCGCCGCATATTTTTGTTGACAACATACCCATTGTGAATGCATGACAGTTTTGTTGTGATAGAGCTCCGTTACTTTTTTTTCATCACGAAATGTTTTCTATGCCACAAAACAAGCAGGGGATTCCACGCCGATACACTGACGTAAATAGGGAATACCCCGCAACAAAGACACGTGATACAAACACACAAACGGGTGTCCTAACAACAGCCAGGTACGGATATGGAACGTCCCTACATCGGTATTAAAATTGTAAATAGTTTGCTAATGCTGATGTAACATTAACTTAATTATATAAGATCTCATAAATAATAATGAAATCTATATCATACAAGTATCTTATATGTCTATGATGAGGTATCAGAGTTGTAAGATATCCGATAATATGTATATGATTTTTTAGAAGAAATCTCACAAGTTATAGATAAATTATTATGGGACATTTTGGTGTCATTAGGATTTTGAAATCAAAGACACATCGAAAGGAACGTTATGATAGTTTTGGCTAAAAAACGTGAATTTTCATATTATTAAGTATCCTAAGATAACACGTTGGAGGTATTATTTATACGATCAGATAAAAAATGAGAGGGTTATAGTTTGTGTGTGAACTCTGATTTGCCAGGACTCTCTGTGATGACTGGTGGTAGATTGTTGCAGGGTCGGAGAGTTCCAGGAAAGAAAGATGGTTGGTGGTAGTTGGTGGTCGAATGCGAATTAAGAATTTCTCTTTTTCGAATGCTACTAGACCTTGTATTTATAAAATAAAAATTATGTAAGAGTGGCTTCTGTCGTTTTATAGTGTTGGTCGATGAAATGTTTTAACATATCTGAGACGCTGTCTGTACATTGCAACACTGTGACGAGTTTAAAGATTCCAGCTGTGGTGCAGTATTCCAGCTGTGTGGTGCAGTATTCCAGCTGTGGTGCAGTATTCCAGCTGTGGTGCAGTATTCCAGCTGTGTGGTGCAGTATTCCAGCTGTGGTGCAGTATTCAAGCTGTGGTGCAGTATTCCTGCTGTGGTGCAGTAGTCCAGCTGTGGTGCAGTATTCCAGTTGTGTGGTGCAGTATTCCAGCTGTGGTGCCAGCTGTGGTACAGTATTCCAGTAGTGAGCGGACAGAAGCATTTTAGTCATGTACTTCCATGTTTCCATATTGTTGACCTACGTATATATCATCATACGTTTGTGCTTTGTTTTTTTTCTGTATTTGCCGATGTGAGAGTTTCATGAAAGTTATGATACAGTGGTAAGTCCGAAGTAGTGCCGGCTATTTTTGTGTAATTTATATTAGTATTTGACGGGATTTGGTTTGTGCGATACAGTTAAGATGTCACGCTTGTGGTAAAGAACGTGAGCCTTTTCCAAGGCTTTTAGTAGAGGAAGATAATTTTTGAGAGTTGTGGACTCCGTCACTGGTACTATTGCACGGCACGTGATGGCATCCGTCGGCAAATGGTCGCTCGTGACGTTAGGTACACGTAAATAATTTAAGAATATCAAATGAGCAGGGACCGACGGCGCAGGTTTTGTTGTTCAAGCGGTGTTATTCTGTTTTGATACAAGTTATTGAGGTTGGGTGGTAATTTAGTATATTTAAGATAGTACAATATGGTGTTAAGGATGACAAAGCAGAATATGGTGCTAAGTATGCGAGAGTAAAATATGGTGTTACGGATAAGATAATAGAATATGGTGTTAGAGATGAGATACATGTAGTCGAATATGGTGTTTGGATGATATAATAGAATATGGTGTTAAGGAGAAAAAGTAGAGTATGGTGTTAGGGATAAGATAGTAGAATACAGTGTAAGATATGAGATAGTAGAATATGGTGTTAGGGATAAGATTGTAGAATACAGTGTCAGGGATGAGATAGATAGTAGAATATAGTGTCAGGGATGAGATAGATAGTAGAATATAGTGTCATGGATGAGATAGATAGTAGAATACAGTGTCAGGGATAAGATAGATAATAGAATACAGTGTCAGGGATGAGATAGATAGTAGAATACAGTGTCAGGGATGAGATAGATAGTAGAATATAGTGTCAGGGATGAGATAGATAGTAGAATACAGCGTTAGATATGAGATAGATGGTAGAATACAGCGTTAGGTATGAGAAAGATAGTAGGATACAGTGTCAGGGATGAGATAGATAGTAGAATACAGTGTCAGGGATGATAGAAAAGAATACAGTGTCAGGGATGATAAAGTAGAATAAAGTGTCAGGGATGATAGAAAATAATACAGTGTTAGGTATGAGAAAGATAGTAGGATACAGTGTTAGGTATGAGAAAGATAGTAGGATACAGTGTCAGGGGTGAGATTGATAGTAGAATACAGTGTCAGGGATGAGATTGATAGTAGAATACAGTGTCAGGGATGAGATAGACAATAACATACAGTGTCAGGGATGATATAATAGAATAGTGTCAGGGATGCGATAGATAGTAGAATATAGTGTTAGGTATGATATAATAGAATACAGTGTTAGGTATGATATAACAGAATATAGTGTTAGGTATGAGATAGATAGTAGAATACAGTGTCAGGGATGAGATAGTAGAATACAGTGTTAGGTATGAGATAGTAGATTTTGGTGTTAAGGAGAAAAAGTAGAATACAACACAACTTAGTCGGATCGACTTTCAGGTGATATCTTATACACTGTTACCACCTAATTTGTGTTTGAAAGATCACCAATGTGACTTTTATCACTATAATCTTGTCACTTCGTCACACTATTGTTCAGTTTGGGTACATCAATTCATTACAGCCGAAAAGTCCTGTCGTTCTATCACCACTTTCTAAACTGTATACCTCAGTGGTGATACTTTTCACACTGGTCATTTAACTGGTGGTGGCTGTAGTCACAAAACACCATACATGATTTAATTTTCTTCTCGATTGTCCTATTCTACATCCTTATACCAGCATTTTACACCTCGTTTTGATAACATAATGATTACATAAATCATAATGGTTCTATACTTGAAGACAGTTATCAACTTCCATGGAAGAAGACATGACGACGAGGACCTAACACTTTGACGCCACAGCAATACTAACAATGTGTAAACAGCTTGTCACGCCCACCTTTAACTGTAAACAATTTCTTTATCACATTTTTAAAACGCTAATATGTCGACATGAATTGTTCACCAGGAGTGTCGAACTATACATTCTAGAGGTACTTCAAACACAAAATAACATTTCAAAAATTGCTTATTTAAAGCAGTTTCAACCAACAGTTACATAACAGTATTCCGTCCAGGTCTTGTTACACAACAGTAGTTTGTGTATTCCGTCTCGGTCTAGTTACAGAAAGTAGTTAAGTAAATTTGCTTCCGCATTCTAGCACAAGTAACGATGTATATTAAACGTTTATTGTACCCGTTAATTTTAAAAAACATGGTTTTATTCGTGTGACAATTAAGATATTATCTCCATGTATTTTGAACCTCAGGTTTGTCGTTTTGACATTATCACTTGACTATGAACCACCGTGAATGGAAAAGATGGCGGCGCCCTATGTTGAACGGGTCTGGTGAGCTCCGTGTACATTTGGTACTTTTTTGTTTTTGCATTGAGTTATTACTGTGTATCATAATGGGAAAAAGCAAGAAAAGGAAGAAGAAAGATACAGATGATGGTGACATTACGGGGAGCTCCAATAATTCAACGAGTACTGTGAGCAATATACTTAACGCCGTAAGAGGTGTTATGTACGGCAGCCCTCCGAGGCCGGCGTCCAATCCTGTGGCTTCTACCCCGATTCCGAATCCAAGTGATAAAGACGTGATCAAGGAGCAGCAATTTGAAGAGACTTATAGGAAACTTGACTTCATACTTACCAAAATGGAGAAGCTAGATAAGCTTGATGCGATAGAGCATCATATTTCTCGTTTGACCACAAGAGTTTGTGACGTTGAGAAAAGGGTTCGGGAAGTTGAGCGCAGGTGTAATGATTTCGAATCTACGGCTATCTTTGTGTCAGGTCAGTTCGACGAAATCAACGGAAAGTTGGTCAATACTGATATATTGTCAGAAACTGTTAAAGACCACGAGGCAGCTATCAGTAGCCTGTGTCAGGATCTAGAGTCTCTTAGATCGGACCGTGATGAGATGAGACATACTGTTCTAGACCTCCAGTGTAGGTCCATGAAATATAACCTTGTGTTCACTGGATTGGCCGGAGAGAACCGGAATGAAGATACCATGTCACTTATTAGAGACTTCATTCATATAGAACTTGGTATTGAAGGCAGAATCGAATTCATGAACGTGCATAGGTTTGGTAGGAGTGTGCGTGGTAAGCCCCGGCCGATTGTCGCAAGGTTTCTCTACCACCAAGACCTCCAGTATGTCAAGAGTCAGTCTTTCCGTCTCCGTGGTACTAGTTTTGGTATACACGAGCAGTTCCCGGCTGTAATAGAGGAACGTAGGAAAAAACTATCCGGTCCTCAGACGTAGCAAGCAAGCTGGTAATGACGCCAAGCTGATACGAGATAGACTTTATATAGATGGTAGGTTGTATGAGGAACATCAAGCAACCGTGGGAACCGATGCGAATAGGCACACAAATATTCGTGTTCCACAGGACAGACCATACGAGTCAACTTCTGGTACAGTGGAGAGTCGGTCTATTTCGAATTCTAACGGTGGACGCCAGCAGCCGTCCGCTTCTCGTAGTCGTGGCACTCTGGTAGGACGGAACAAACGAGGCCCAAGTAAGAACTTTTCTCACCAAAAGCCGACGACCAGTCAAGTACAACATACCAACAGAGTTGCTCCGAGATCATGGGATCCACCTACCACCCCACAAGAACCACAGCATAACAGACATGACCCGTCTGTGTTTGTTTCTGATGCCGATCAGACTACCGTGAAGTCCGTATAGGGGCTAGCGGAGGACACTTCCAGTCTTAGAATATGTTCATGGAACGTTCAGAGAAATTTAAGTAGTAAGCTTGGTGACGAAGGATTTCGAGACGTGTTCAATGCATATGATATTGTGTGTCTTGCTGAATG